TTTGGAAAAAAGTTTGAATTTCAAGAGTTTCTCATGATTCTTCTCTAGAGTTTTTATAATTATATGTTTCTACCAATCATCCACTGGATGGACTCCACGGGGCTTAAAAATTCTCATGATGAGGAAATCGATCTACATGTCATGTACCAACTACAAAAGATTTTTTGGTGATAACTAATTCCCCAATCAAACTTTCCTGAGAAGTGAGATTTCAAGATCTACCTCAATTTTGGCCTTTTTTATTTCTTCAATAAACTTGGGCAATAGATAGTTTAAAACAACAAAAACACCTTATGGAGCACATAGGGTCGCCATGAGTCAGCACTGACTCGATGGCAATGGCAACTTGTTGGTTATATATAAATAAACAAATATATATGTATATATACATAAATATTATATATATATAATCTCCTCCCTTTTTTTGCACAAACTATATCATACTCCACACTGTATTCTATACCTGAAATTTTCACTTAAGGTACCTCTATCTTTTTTTTTTTTTTAATTGTAGTAAAAAATATATTTGCCAATTCAACAACTTTTGTATACACAGTTCAGTAAGATATCTCTTTTTGTATTAGTCCTTGAGGAGCTGCCTCATTCTTTCTTAGGGGTGCACAGTAGTCTGTGCAAATGTACATACTTTATGTAACTAGCCCTTAATGATGGACATTTAGATTGTTTTCAATTTTTTGCTTTACAATGTTTGTGTGGTGCGTATACTGATAGGATCAGGTCTTAGAAATGGAATTGTTGGGTCAAAGGGATACACATTTGTTGTTCATAGCAGCTCTATTCACAATAGCCAGAAAGTGGTAACACCCAAATGTCCATCAACGGATGAATGGATAAACAAGATGTGGTATAAACACACAATGGAATATTATTCAGCCATAAAAAGGAATGACGTTCTGATGCATGCTACAATATAGATGAACCTTCAAAGCATTATGCTAAGTGAAAGAAGCCAGACACAAAAGGCCAGATATTATATATTATTTATATGAAATATTCAGAATAGCTATATTCATAGGAATAGAAAGCAGATTGGTGGTTGCCAGGGTGTAAAAACAGTGTGAGGGCAGTGTCTGACCTCCACCAACCCCATAAGCGGGAAGGAGAACCAAGATCAACAGACCAAAGCTGATTCTCATGAGGCGGAGGTCAGACTTGCCTTCTCTCTCCGCCATTTTTACCAACCCTGACACCAACTGTCCCTCCTATAGCACTCTCTACTGGGTTCAATAATTCATTGCAAGGGCTACACAGAAATCCCAGTCAATACTCATGATTACAGGGTTTATTAGGGAAGTAACAGTTGCAATTCAGGCTCAGGTACACTCAGGATATAGTTCTTCCACCAGGACAGCCTCTTCCCAGGCACGACTCTTCCTGGCCCTAGGCCTCTGCCCAAAGGCTCTCAGCTTTCTCTCTGTGGGCCGGAAAGCCCACCACGCCATCTCTTGCTGCTGTTTCTTTGCTGCTGTGTCTCGCCATCTTCAGGATTAGTTTGTTCTCTGTCTCCTGGGCCCAGGAGCCTCAGGGCGGGGTATCCCGGGTCCAAAGGATGTGCTGGCTTTTGACTATTCTTCCTGGGTGGTAGTGGGAATCCTCTCTCCTCCCACCTCTGGGGTGTCTCATTTCAAACCCAGAGGGATGGCAAAACCGACCAATCCCTTTGGTGGGCCACAATTACCCTATCACACAGTCCCGCCCAATCACTTGGGTGGGAGTTACAAGACCATGGCTAGAAGGGCCATATTAAGTAATTTATTACGCCACCCAAGGGGTTGGGGTAAAGGGTATGGGGAAGAGCTGTTTAATGGGTATGGAGTTTTATTTTGGAGTGATGAAATGTTTTAGAAAGAGATAGAGGTGGTGGTTGCACAACACTGATGTACTAAATACCACTGAATTGTTCATTTTAAAATGGTTAATTTTATATTTTGTGAATTTCACCTCAATAACAAAAGGAATATACGTTCGTAATTTTGTAGATATTGTTCCGTGTAAAGTTTCCACCAATTTACTTTCCCATCAGCCTATTTCCCTACCCCTTGTCCATCAGTTCTTTATCAAACTTAAAAATGTTTATCTACTGATAAAAACTATTCAAGTCTAATCTGATTTCCATTTATCTTAGTAAGAGAGGATAAACAACTCTTCATAGGTTTGAGACATCGCTTGTATTCGCTTTTCTGTGGATGGTCTCTTTGGATCCTGTGACTACTTTTCTACTAGGCCATTTTATTTATTGATTTTTTATGAGAGCTCTTTATATATATAAGGGAAATCAGCTCCTAATTTTGAAATGGGTTACTCAGTATCTTGTCTGTAACAAATTACAGTGTGTTGTTTGCGTTTTGACTTTGATGGTAGGTTTTTCCAAATAGATTTTTTTATTTTTAATGTAAATGAACTAATCAAGCTTTTCTTTCCTGGTTTGTGGGTTTGGTGACAGACTCTGAAGGCCTCCTCCACTCAAGATTCTAAAAATTCTCCCTTTGTTTCCTCTTGTACCTTTATAGTTTATATTTTTGACATTTAAATCTTTAATCCACCTGGAAAAAAAGAAGTTTATTCTAATAATCTCAATGGCTAACTAACTTCTTTGTGTTGGGAAATGTCAGGAAGAAAAGGGACAGCCGATCTGCTCCCGGACATTCCATGCACCTCTGGACTCGTTTGAGGAGGATCTGTATGTGGGCAGCTTTCTCCTCTTTGCACCTGAAATCAGATCTCAGCCAGAGATGAAGTCTGTTTTGGCACCTGCTGGCCCTTGGTTTCCTCACCTGAGTCCCAGGCTCTGAAGATGAGGCCTGGGTTCAAGCCCCAGTATTCCAGGAGGTTCCCTTCTCTGGGCTGCCTTGCCCCAAGAGGAAGTCACCTCGTTAAATCCTCATCACTGAGGTATGAGTGACTGATGGAAGGGACAAGGGCCACTGCCAAACAGGCTTTCTCATCCTTTGGCTGTTCCAACTTTTTGAGTAAAGGAAACATAGGTTCTTCGGTACCCTCACTATATATACCTTGCAAGGCCATCATGAAGATTAAATAAATGTGCCTGGCATGTAGTAAGTGTGCAACACACGAAGACTCTAATGCCTCATTCACACATTTGCTTATTTGGCAAATATTCTTTTTTTTATTCAACAAATATTTATTAAAACTGTGCAAGACACTTACTCAGATATTTCAGCAAATACTTGTTGGGTGCTGTTGAGTTGATTTTGACTCACCGTGACCCCATGTGACAGAGCAGAGCTGCCCCATAGGGTTTTCTTGGCTGTGATCTTTATGGAAGCATATCGCCAGGTCTTTCTCTCATGGAAACACTGGATGGGATTTGGCAAATATTACTGACCCCCTACCAATGTTGGGCACTATTGTAGGTGCTGGGGATACAGTGGGGACAAAAACTTACTGGTGGAAGAGAGGCAGTACATAAGTAAACATGTGTCAATAAGAACAAAGAGGATGAAGCAGGGAGAGGGTCAGGCAAGGAGCAGGTGGGGTGGTGGATGCTCTCAGAGACCTTTAAGTTAAGGTAGTACTGTCCATGATCCTACCTGTCACAGTTCCTCCATTGATGAGCATTTTTACAGGGGACATAACCTTATTGTTTTTCATTCATCTGTTATCTTGGCTAATTCCAATGTCCGAGACACGAAGCCTCTTACACTTCCGTGGAGGTGGCCAGGTCTGAGAGCTGGTGTAACCAGTGGCTCTGTGATGCTGGCCCCTTCTGGGCTATGGTAGGGTTCAGAGTGGGGAGGTCTTGCCTATGAGCTGTTTTACCAAAGGCAGGCTACAGGGCCACACTGCGTTTAGTTTCCATTGTGAATGCTGGGGTGACCGTAATGAACTGACTACATGGGTCCTGTCCTCAGGGTGCACTCAGGAAGAAAAAGAGAACATTTCAATTCTGTTTATGTGCTGGCTCTCAGGAGAAGAGAAACCCAGGGTCTGGGGTACAGAGGAGCCCTCAGTGCCCAGCCAGGGGAGAGCAGTGGGGCACCGAGCAGGGAACACAAGCTGAAGCCAGAAAGCAGGCAGGCAAGTCCCACACTGGAGGCATCATCTCTCAGAAAACCTTTCCAATCTTCCCAAGTCCCGGGACAGGCTCTGATTGGACCATCTGGGATCATGTGCGCATCCCTGAATCAATCACAGTGGCCGGGAAGGCACAGAACGTTGACTGGCTGGTGGCAGACGGCTGATGCCAGCGAAGGCAACGATGCTGGGCAGGGAGACGTAAGTTCACCAGAAGTTGCGAAGTTCCTCGGCTTTACCACGCTCTGGCCCTCCCTCACCCTCTGGGCCTTTGCATCTTGAGGTTTCCTCTTCTCAGAAAACTTTTCTCTCCACTCTGCCCGCCCGCCCCATCCTCTTCTCCAGGTTTCTGCTCAAATTTCCCCTCGTGCTAGCGGCCCTCGGCGCTGTTCATTTGCCCGCTGCCTCGTAGAAAGTGGATCTGACTCCCACCATGAGGGCAGTGCCCGCCCACCACGACCGCCCTGAGGTGCCAGCGGCCCGCGGGAGGCGCTGAGGTAACGTCCCGGGGGGAGAGATGACAAACACACGCGCGCCCGCCCACGCTCAGGCCCCTTCCCGGCTACAAACGAGGGCACGCGAGTATCGGTCCTCATCAGCAAACCCACCTGGCCTCGGGCGCACAGACTCGCGCGCGCAAGCACGATCCGCCCACCGGTAGATCACCGGATGAAGGCGCACAGGCACACGCGCGTGGGCCCACGCACGCCCGGCCACGCAGACCCTTTCCACTCCACAAAAGGAGGCACGCGCAGGCGCGCGCACACGTCGATCCACTCCCAGCCCTAGACCCACCCGGCCCCAGGCGCACACTCGGGCGCACGCGCGGCCCCGGGCAGCCGCTCCCCACTCCTGGCCTCGCCCGTCGGGGGCGGGGCGCCGCTGGGGGCGGGTCCTGCGGCACCGCCCGGGAAGCTGCGCGAGGCTCGGCGGCCGCCGCCACATCCTCCTCCTTCTCCTCCTTCGGGTCCAAGCGAGCGAAGCCGGGCCAGGGCCAAGCCGAGGGCCCCGAGGGCGCGGGCGGAGCGGGGCGCGGAGCCATGGCGCACCAGACGGGCATTCATGGTGAGGGCCGATGGCGGGAGGGGAGGGGGCTGGGGGTCTCCACTCGCGGCTGCGCCCCCTCCCCGACTCTCGGCCCCTCCCTCCTCCCGGCAATGGCCCCGGGAAGCTTCCTGTTCTGTTTTGCAGCCGCGGGCCGCCTGGAGTGGGCACATCTTAGGGGGAGGGGTACGGACTTGCTGTGCATAGCTGGGAGTGGGTGTACGTGTACGTACACAGCTGAAGAGGGAGTATCTGTGTGCCCACCTGGATGTGGTGTTTGTATGTATGTGTCCATCTGGGTCTAGGTGTGCATATTTGTTCATTTCTGGGGGTGGGTGTACCGGATGTGCACATCTGGAGGCGTGTACACCTCTGTGCACATGCCTTGTGTCTTCAGTCCTGTGTGCGCACATCTGGATGTGGCTGTGCCGGTGCACACCGAGGCCCATTCACGCACATGCACTACCGGTGTTTGGATGGATGCTGTGTAGGTGGCATGGGACCGTCCTTAGACATCAGGGTTTCTGTCTGTGGGTGTCTGTGCGTGTGTGCACAGTTTGAGCACGTCGCACTGTGCGTTTGTCACCATGTAACAGATGTCTGTGTATGGCTTGTATGGGCTTGTATATGTGTGAGGAGGGGCCCTGACCTTGGCTCCTCCCAGGACCCTCACACACTCTGGCAGGCTGGGACGGGGAGAACTTCCAGTCTGACCTTGACCTCTGACTTCCCTCCCATTTTCCACTCTGAACTCCTGAGCTGGTCCCAGCCAGGGATGGGAGGTCCCAGCTCCAGGCTGGAAGCAGGGAAGAGGGTCCAGATATGGGGTTTGGAGGGAGGGTCTTGGCCCTAGAGAATCCAGGCCAGTCTCCCTTTCCCCCAGGAAGCCTCTCTAGCCCAGAGCATCACGGCTCCCTCCCCGGGGCCCAGGGTTCCTTCTCAGACAGGCTGGGAGAGAAGCAGTGGCCAGGAGCTGAGTGCCCTGACCCTACCTGGGCCTCAGTGTCCCCATCTGTCACTGGCATGGGTGGGCTGCCTGGCCTCTGGGGAAGGCCCAGGCCACTTGCCCAGACAGGCTCTGTGGTTTGGCTATTAGCCACTCCTCCCACCACACAAGGATCTGGCACCATCGACCCGCCTGACCGCCTGGATCCTGGCTTGTGGTTGTGGCCACTTGGTGGCTGGACAGCCCCAGGATGGCTTCCCCGGCCCCGCCCCCTCCCCAGCACACCAGAGAAAGCAGGGGCTGGGGTCAGTGCCTGCCCCCCAGCAGGTGGGCCAGCCTCTCTGCTGAGGAGCTAGAGGGGCAGGCTTCATGACTCAGCCCCGCAGGAGGGGAGTGGCCTCCAGCCCCTTCCTTCCCCTTTGTCTGGTGACTGTGCTGCCTCCAACTGGGAGGGAAGGAAGGGCTTTCCATGGGCTGACAGGACAGGTCCTGTGGCCAGGGCCATGCAGGCCTGCCCAGGGGATCACTGGGGCAGGGCTCCCAGCCCCCCTTCTGCCTGTGAGCAGCCACTCCATCCCATTTCTGGCCTGGCCTGGGGAGGTGGCATGAGAGATCACCCTGGACACCCAGCTGCCAGCCCTGTCCTGCCATAGGTGTGAATCAGCTGACCTCAGAGCGGGGCAGGGGAGGGACCTGTAACTTGAGGCTCATGGGGTGAGGGGCAAAGTAGCTTGGGAGTGGAGCCCATGAATCTTTGATACCAGAGGTTCAGGTGTCCCAGGCCTGGCCTCTGGATTATTGATGTGGCTGGGGAGGCATGGTTGGGGTGGGAAGGGAGTGGGGATGTCTCTTTCTGCTCTTTCTCTGCTGGGGTGTCAGTTTGCCCTGGTAACAGTAGGAGAGGCATGCCAGCCTCTCCCCTGGGAGTGCTTGTTGGCTTCCCCTCCCAGAAGGTCTGAGCAGGTGGAGGGACAGCTGAGCCCAGCGTGCCTGCCATCATTGTAGTAATAAACCTCATTATGCTGTTACTAGGTGCCGTCAAGTCGGTTCAGGCTCATAGTGACCTTATGTGCAACAGAACGAAACGCCGCCCGGTCCTGCACCGTCTTCACAATCCTTGCTATGCTCGTGCCCGTTGTTGCAGCCACTGCGTCAGTCTATCTTGTTGAAGGTCTTCCTCTTCTTCTTTTTTTTATTTTTTCCCATACAAAAATTTGTACATACATTGTTATGTGACTCTAATTGCTCTCCCCATACTGTGACAGCACACTCCTTCTTTCCACCCCAATGCCCCATGTCCATTCAGCCAGCTCCGAACCCTCTCTGCCTTCCCATCTCACCTTCTGAGAAGCTGCCCGTTTAGTCTCTTGTATCTATTTGAGCTAAGAGGCACACTCCTCACGAGTATCACTTTATGTCCCACAGTACGGCCCACTCCCTGTCTGAAGAGTTGGCCTCAGAAATTGTTCTAGTTCTGGGCTGATAGAGAATCCAGGGGCCATGCTTTCCAGGGTTCCTCCA